ACATGGTCTCGATCTCTTGACCTCGTGATCCACCCGCCTCGGCCTCCCAAAGTGCTGGGATTACAGGCTTGAGCCACCGCGCCTGGCCTCTTGTAACGTTTCTTAACAAAAATACCTCTTTATATCTATAACTTCTCTTGGTCTCTCTCTTAGTTCCTTGTTCCAGGTGCCACCATGCTCGGATAATTTTTGTGTTTTTGTAGAGACAGGGTTTCACCATGTTGGCCAGGCTGGTTTTGAGCTCCTGACCTCAGGTGATCCACCTGCCTTGGCCTCCCACAGTGCTGGGATTACAGGCGTGAGCCACTTCACCGGGCCAGGAACTCTGTAGTTCTGTAGTTGCCGGCTGACCTTTGGGCTCTGAATGCTTCCTGGATGGAATTTGCCCATCAGTTTAAAATGTGTCAAAAAGACCATCATATGGAAACAGCTGGGCCCTAAGCAACCTGGCATGCCCTCAAATTTTTCAGTTTTATACAAACACTTGCCAGTAAAGGCACCATACAACCAGCAAGGTGCCCAAAAGGGGGCCATTCTCTTGTCTTTCCTGAGCCTTAGATGATTTATTTCCAACTTTTTTTTTCTCGGAAAGAGGAGCTGAGCTGTGTCCCTGGGTTCAGTGGGGCAGTGGAAGTGTGCTGGTTGTGGGCGGGGCTCCACGGTGAGTCACCCGCAGAGTCATCTTTGCCCTCTTACGTGTCTCAGTTTCTCTCTCTGGAAGTCCAGCACCTCCAAGAGGACTCAAAACCCCAGAGTGACAGCTCCTACGTGCGTTTCCTGGACAAGACTTTTTAAACTAATTGTGCTGGGGGATCCCCCTAGGGCTGTTGCACATCACAGGATCAGACCCCAAGACACTCCCACTTGTTTCCCAGTCACCCAGGGCGCCTCTCAGCTGGGAAAAGCAAAATGCCCTTCTTTTTGGAACTGAGAAAACTCATTCTCTTATTTATCTATGAAAACAATTCAGTTCCTCATGCAAGTGCACAGACAAGCCAGCTGGGCTTAATTTTGGGAGAAAAAGCAACAGAG